TTAAACACTGGTAAGACCAACACGTCGTTCTATATCTGGAGCTTCAAACGACACGATGTTTAACGTTGGTAAATAATCCCACATCGTTTACATGACAAATAGTTGATTGGGGAAGCAGGGTATAACTAGAGAAGTCGAAGGATTGTGCAAATCACTTACCTGGACGGGGTCAACTCGTGATCAAAGAGACGAGTGGCCTAGACAAGTGACTTCCATTGCACATAAAGGAAGGCTGCTATGTCTAAGGTCTTCCCAAGTGGTAGAGCCTGTGTCATTATTTGTGGCTGAGGGGGTTTGCGTTCGCGCAACCCCTACCATCTTATGTCTCAATTTTTATTCAATTCTAACTGTGAACAAACTTATTTTCGAGAAGGTTTATCTTAATTTGTTTGACTAAACTAAATTTATTGTGGTTTTTTTGGCCGGTTATGACAATCCAGCACCAATCTTGAGATTTCTCTATCAAAGCTAAGAGAAGAAAACATGATGGTCTGCTACAGATTTTTTGCCCTCAATGGATTGGTTGTTTCGATCAAAGATGTTGATATCGTTTAAACCAAATTCTTAAATGACTCTGCCCAATGGAAAACCCCTTCAATGCTTCCAAACCCATTAGCTTTGCAAACAACACTGGGAGCTAGCGTCTAGGCCGTTGCTATTCGACTAGTCTCTCTCAAAGTTAGTACTATTTGCAGTTTCGTGGTGCAAGAAACACATACAAGGAATTAGGAACACCAAGTTACGAGATGAGGGTAACAATATAGAAACAATGTAATAAGCCATAAGAGACTATAAGTCGAACTTGAAATTACATACTATCACATTTGATTTATGAGCTTGTTTAATAAAAGTCCCAAGTTACGAAGGAAAAAGGTTAATATAGTTGTCACTAGACCAATTGTATGTCTCATTGTAGCTGAAAATTTTACTAATCAATATTCAAAGTTGGTGTTTGATTTACCCATTCAATCACTTTGCACTCTTAGCATTGCAAAACTTGACTTGCAAGTGAGAAGAAAAACTTTGACGTAATTAGTTAATTCAGGACTATCTGCATCAAAGAAATCTTGACTTGATGAATTAAAAAAAAAAGGCGTTTTTTGTTAAAATTTTGGAAAAAGCCTTGGCCTAGTTTAAATAATAGCAAAAAAGAAAAAAAAAATTCTTGATCTCCAAGAAAGACCGGATACATAAACCCTATCTTAACCCACTTGAAAAAACAACAAAGCCTTTCAGTTTAATCGAATATATTATTGAACGTTTCCTTTTAGCTTTGTGTTTTGAACGTTTTTCTTTTTATGTTTCCTTAATCTAATAAAAACAATATTTCCAAAACCTACTAGGAATCATGTAAATTTGGCATCTCTAGATGGGGAAACAATCAATTAATAAAAGGAAAATATATAGGCGTGCTTGTGTCTTTAAATACGTTAAACATAAAGGAAAATATATAAGCGTGTTCGTTATAGTCTTTAATTTGTCTTTGCATAGTGTTATATATAGGTTATAAACATACGTTACTGTGTTTGTGCGATCTAACAAGGATGTCAAAAGTAACGAGCGGTGAAGAAAAGATGTGGTGCGGTCACTGCGGTGTTAAAACTCCCACTCGCCGTGAAGGAAAAGCCGGTTCGGTCAAGTAATTATTATCTTTGTCTCAAATCTTTCTAATTTCTTATTTTTATATTACTATCAAATTTGTTAATATTTTGAAATAATTCGATAGGTCTTGCAATTGGTGTGGGAAAGTGTTGGCGGATGAGACCGGGACTGCTGAAGAATATAATCAACTCTTCCTTCAACTTCAAGCGATACAAAACGACGCAGACTCCGGTTTGGGCAAGACAACTCGACGTAAAACAAAGACAATCCGGACTTGAAACATCTATGTTTTCTTCTATACCTTTAACACAAGGCAGACAATCCGTCCAAACATATTGTCTTTCTTTTCACGGCCATTTTTTAAAAAAGTTGTAATTTAGTCATTAATACTTTTAAATACTGTAATAAATTTTCTACATGAAAGTTAAAATTTTAAATATCTGAAAATATATAACATCTTTTGGTATTGATTTCATGATTTGGAAGCGTCTAAGTGTATTATACTAACCCTTTTCTTTCAATGCTAAATTATACTCCTTCTGTTCCTTGAAAAATGATGTTTTGGGTTTTGCGCATATAATAAAAAAGAGTAAATTCAATAACTTTTAAAACAATTTATCGTTTTCCAAGACAAGTAAATCATATTAAGACCAATAAAATTCATTTTCGTAAAAGAAAGTACATTAACTAAAAGGTAAAAACATCAATTTTTTAAAAACAAGAACAAATTCAAAACATCATTATTCAAGGAACGGAAAGAGTATTATTGTTAAATCTACAAGTATTTGATTTCTAGACGTTAGTGATGATTATACCATCAAATTTCTTTCAAGAAAATGATCTCTTTATTTTTTATTTTTGGTCACAAAAGCTTTTCATTCAATCAAAAAAGATTCGGAACATTGTGATCTACAATTGATAATGCTTGTTTAGCCAAGTCATCTGCTATTACATTTAAATTACGAGAAATGAATTGAAAAGAGAGAGAATCAAAAGAGAGAGTCAACTCTCTAATGTTTTCAAGAAGCATAGCCACATCGATGTGGGATCCATTCGAGTTGAGAAGATGTATGAGAGTTTGAGAATCTAATCTCACGATGATGTTAGAACATCCCATGTTTATAACATAGACTAAGGCAGCAATAAAGGCCCTGGTTTCTGCAACAAGAGCAGAAGAAACAAAGGCACAAGAGGGTGATGCGGTAAAAACAGAGGGATTCTTATTTGATGTAAGAGCCCATCCCATTCCGCAATTTAAGGAGGTAGCATTCCATGCTGCGTCCACGTGACAAGTAAATTCGTAGCTTGGGATCGTCGCTTAAGGAGGAGATACGACTAGGTCGAGATGATTGATACGACTAGATCGAGATGATTGCGCATTGTACCATGCCTTAGCTTATGAGATTGACTTTCGCACTACCTCTGCTTCTGAGTATATTTTGTTGGCGAAGCAAAACTGATTTCTAGCCGTCCATAGTTCCAGAGTATCCAGGCGTAGAGTGACTACATTGTAACTCCATCATGAGGTGCAGATTTAATGTTTCGCAGAGCAGAGAGTAGAGAAAAGAGATCTCCATTATTCGATATTGGCCCAATAATGGGGAAAGTGAAACGCCCCGACCCGGTTTTCCTTACCGCGGATCACTTTGTCTCGGCCAGACATGGTCATTTACATAATAGACCAGATTTCCTACACGGCAAAAGCCGTGACCGAACCTCTATTTTGCCTATTTCCATAAACTCCTCGAAGAGGTTTACCACAAACAACTCCAATAGTGATAACAATAAATCAAGGCAACCACTTAACATATACGCTTAAGAACACTTACGCTATCATAAGCAACAGAACGTTAACACGTACCTTGTCCTTTGCCGATATCGGATCGCCCATTGACTTGTACTCGCAGCCGCTTGTCTACTCTTTCCCGAATGCACTTACTTATCCTTTCCTTCCCGAGCACTCTCCACTTAACCGCCTCACCTTGTTACCCAGTCACTCAACCAACCACCCCGCATGACCGTGTGACAAGGGAGGTGGCATGGAACACTATTCCATACAACACATTCCACAGTTTCGGGTTTTCCCGCGGAATACTCGCAAGTCCTCACTGATCTCTTGACACTCCTCGTAAATCCTTCGGAAACTTGCCCAACATCGACACCCATCAATACTTGATGATGTCTCGACCATCACTCTTCACTCACCCCTTCCTCGGCTTCTCTCGATGAGCCTTCATTACATCCAGACGAATCCTCAATGCATCACCATCTTTTTTCCACGTTCATCATCACGGACTATCATGAACACTTGACCCTTTGCGGAATACTCCGATCTGTCGACTTCCCCAATAGATCCTCTCTAGTTCTTACTCGACCATTCTTCGCGTGTTCCCTTACTGCGATTACCCGATAACTGCCCAGCCATCGTTCATGGTCGACCTTTAGAGTTGATCGCCGTTACCCAGAAACTCGAATGAGCAACTCGATCTTGGTCAGTCTACCCACAGACCCGCGATCTACCTACACGCTCCGATCTCTCTCGGATCCACTCTAGATTTCCTAATGAATTCCCCTCGAATTCTCTCACGGATCTCCCTTTCAGTTCTCCCAATCCTTTTCAGTATCAACACCTCTTGTCGCGATGATCTCTCGAACACCAAGTCCAGCCGATCACCCATATTCTCCCAGACACGATCGCCGCCACGCTCAGACACGATCACGGACACTCACGCGATCGAGTCTCTCAAGAATCTCTCGAGCTTTTTCTCTTTTTTTTCCCTCGGAGAAACTCTCTCCATTTTCCTCTCTGTTTTCCTCTCCCTTTTCTGTCGAGAAACCGCTTTAAAACTACCTAGATAACCGTTCCCGCTTGGTTCCGCGTCCCAAAGCCCAGAAATAACTATTCCTTCAATTTTCATTAGAAATCACGTGTCACGACACGAGCCGGTAACTGTCCTATCCAAAACAAACCACACGCTAACCGACCTGTCCGAAATCAGACCACGACCCGAAAACTCCACCTAGCTCGGATTTAACTGTCCAACTCAGTCTAACCTTGACTTTTCATTTCTCGTTGACCCAACTGCCCCTCTTGGCTCGGATCCAGCTCGATCACTTCGAGCGTTTCATTCTGTGGTGGTCAGTCCGCGGAGCATGGGTGTTACAGAAAGCATCCATACATTGATGGAAAAGAAACAGTCTCTCAAACCGTGCAGGACTGTTTCAGGGTTGCCACAACGTTTGCATCGAGCATCTTCGGTAACTCCTCTTTGAAATAAGAGAATTTCCACAGGGAGGTCTCCCACTATAGCTTTCGAGAGGAAGTTCTGAATCTTTGGTAAGGTTTGGACCTTCCATACGTGTCTCTGCCAATTAAATTGGAGTTGGGGAAGATGAATATCTTGAATGACCGAGACACCAGACCGAGTAGTGTACTCACCACGTTTCAATGGAAGCCACACTTGTTTGTTGGGTCTTCGAACTGCTCCAAGGGGTCTGATATACTCCTCATAGTCGGGGAGGAGATCTCTAATTTTTGGTAAATTCCATTAGTTGTTGTTATCGATCAGATCTGATACTAACATATCTTTAGAAAGCAGAGG